AAAAAATTCAAAATAAAATTTTTTTTTTGGGGGATGGAGGGGGGCACCTGCCCCCGTAGGCCACCCCCCAAATCCGTCCCTGGATGTACACCAAATTATATACAAGTAGATAAATTCTTTCATAAAATGTGTGATTAAAAATAAGTTTAAGAAAATGAATTTATGAAAGTGAGGGTCAAATAGGGGCAATATTTTAAACCAGTCCATAAAATTAGCAATAAAACTAATATTCTAATGAGAATTTCAAAGGTTAGCATGTGACTGATAATCATTAGTAACTTGTTAAAGATATGAAAAGAAGTCTATAAATTCATGAATTTTTTTAAAATTCTTCGAGATTATTTCCATATAACCTAAAAAATTACTTAGAAAATTCTCTTTTTTTATATCATAAAAATAAGATTATTTGCTTTTTTCAAATATAAAATATTTTCGATATTTCTATCTCAATTAATTTACATTATAATTTCTAACAGGAAATGCCAACTTTCTTAATCAAGGGTTTTCTTTGTTTCCTTTTCTTTAAAATTTTAAGAAGCAACGGAAAATGAGATAAAATTTTGTTTCTTACTCATCCCAACTGCAAGAATATTCCCAACATAGAAATAGCCTCCCGATCTGCTATTTCTATCATTAGCATCAGAAAATCCGGCAAGGTCAAGATTAGAATATGATCTATAGTGCCATTAACATATCGAATGATATGCCGCACGGAAGTTAAGTGAGATTCTTGGGTATCAGCTTGAAAATCTCGCACAAACTCCAACACTAAATACTATGTCAATTATACTGCCAGTAAGAAAGTAAACTACCTGTCATACTCCTATGTAGTGTTTGAACAAAAATCTTACATGTAGGATCATGACCAACTTAACACTCGTGCTCATGGGTGTTCTAGTATTTTTTTGCTATCTAGTTCAAATCTCCTAACATGGTCTTCGGCGTACTTTAATTTAGATATGAACAACCCATCATCAAATTTCTTTACTTGAAAAACAAGAAAGTAACTTAATTCTTCGACCATGCTCATCTCAAATTCTTGCTCCATGTAATCGAGGAATTCATGAGTAAAAGAGTCAATGAGAGAACCAAAAATGAAGTCACAAACATGAATTTGTGATATGGTGATGGTTTGTTCAATATGTCTTATGAATAGAGTTATATCTGCACCACCTCTTGAAAAAACATTTTTCATGAGGTGCGTAGTGACATGATCCAATGTACAGATGCAATGAGGGTGAGCCCAGGGGAATGATCCATTGATCATCGAAGGAGGACTGATTACTCAATCAAAGGAAAAGCGGGTCAAAGAAGTGATGGGGTTGCTGGCTTAAGCTACGGTGGACGAGACATTGACTAGGGCAAGCGAAACGTCAAGTTCCATGTTGGGCTCAGGGGTGGAAGTCCAATGGATCACATTGATTGAGGCAGGAAACAATGAGGCTAAAATTCAAAACTATGCGACCGCATAGTTAGAAAATTTTCTTTTCGCGAATTTTCCTTATTTTACAAGAATCTCAAGGCTTGGATTTGAGGACAAATCCTTTCGAAAAGATATGGGAAGATATGATTCGGGACATGCAATACATAAAGAATGATGGTTTCCTTTTTTCGCCGATTTCCTTATTTCATTAGAATTCTA